GGGAGAACGGAACCGCTAAGATCTCGCATTGTACACGGAATCCAGTGGTCTCACGCAAATATAAGGTAGGAAACATATTAATCGAGTGAACGTAAGGGTTTGAAAGGTAACTTACGCACATGTGTAGAGAAAATGGTGCATCGGCCAGTCTGGCCGGCATTTCGCACTTGTAGTGCAAGTAGGGCCAAGGAGAACAGAAACACTCATTTCTCAAAAAGTAGAGGGAATCTAGCGGTCTCACTCAATTAGAAGGTGGAAAATCTATAAATCTAGTGAGCTAATAAGGTTCGAAAGGAATCTAATATATATGTATATGGAAAATGGTGCATTGGCCAGGTCGGTCAGTATGGGAACTTAGAATGCAAATGCCTGGGAGAACGGAACCGCTCAGATCTCGCATAATACATGGAATCTAGTGGTCTCACTCAAATATATGGTAGGAAATATATTGATCGAGTGAAAATAAGGGTTCGAAAGGTAACCAGCGCACATGTGTAGAGAAAATGGTGCATCGGCCAGTCTGGCCGGCATTTCGCACTTATAGTGCAAGTGGGGCCAGGGAGAACGGAAACGCTCGTTTCTCAAAACGTAGAGGGAATCTAGCAGTCTCACTCAATTAGAAGGTGGGAAATATATAAATATAGTCAGCTAAAAAGGTTTGAAAGGAATCTATAGCACATGTATAGAGAAAATGGTGCATTGGCCAGGTCGGTCAGTATCGGAACTTAAAATGCAAATGCCAGGGAGAACGGAAGCGCTCAGATCTCGCATAGTACACGGAATCTAGTGGTCTCACTCAAATATAAGGTAGGAAATATATTAATCGAGTGAACGTAAGGGTTTGAAAGGTAACTAACGCACATGTGTAGAGAAAATGGTGCATCGGCCAGTCTGGCCGGCATTTCGCACTTATAGTGCAAGTGGGGCCAGGGAGAACGGAAACGCTCGTTTCTCAAAACGTAGAGGGAATCTAGCGGTCTCACTCGATCAGAAGGTGGGAAATATATAAATCTAGTGAGCTAATAAGGTTTGAAAGGAATCTAATACATATGTATATGGAAAATGGTGCATTGGCCAGGTCGGTTAGTATGGGAACTTATAGTGCAAATGCCTGGGAGAACGGAACCGCTCAGATCTCGCATAGTACACGGAATCTAGTGGTCTTACTCAAATATAAGGTAGGAAATATATTAATCGACTGAACGTAAAGGTTTGAAAGGTAACTAACGCACATGTGTAGAGAAAATGGTGCATCGGCCAGTCTGGCCGCCATTTCGCACTTATAGTGCAAGTGGGGCCAGGGAGAACGGAAACGCTCGTTTCTCAAAACGTAGAGGGAATCTAGCGGTCTCACTCGATCAGAAGGTGGGAAATATATAAATCTAGTGAGCTAATAAGGTCTGAAAGGAATCTAATGCATATGTATATGGAAAATGGTGCATTGGCCAGGTCGGTCAGTATGGGAACTTAGAGTGCAAATGCCTGGGAGAACAGAACCGCTCAGTTCTCGCATAGTACACGGAATCTAGTGGTCTCACTCAAATATAAGGTAGGAAATATATAAATCGAGTGAACGTAAGGGTTTGAAAGGTAACCAACGCACATGTGTAGAGAAAATGGTGCATCGGCCAGTCTGGCCGGCATTTCGCACTTATAGTGCAAGTGGGGCTAGGGAGAACGGAAACGCTCGTTTCTCAAAAAGTAGAGGGAATCTAGCGGTCTCACTCGATCAGAAGGTGGGAAATATATAAATCTAGTCAGCTAAAAAGGTTTGAAAGGTATCTATCGCACATGTATAGAGAAAATGGTGCATTGGCCAGGTCGGTCAGTATCGGAACTTAAAATGCAAATGCCAGGGAGATCGGAAGCGCTCAGATCTCGCATAGTACACGGAATCTAGTGGTCTCACTCAAATATAAGGTAGGAAATATATTAATCGAGTGAACGTAAGGGTTTGAAAGGTAACTAACGCACATGTGTAGAGAAAATGGTGCATCGGCCAGTCTGGCCGGCATTTCGCACTTATAGTGCAAGTGGGGCCAGGGAGAACTGAAACGCTCGTTTCTAAAAAACGTAGAGGAAATCTATTGAGAAGAATTGAACGAGAGAATGGATGAACTATGAAATGAGTGAGTACAAGTACTAACTCTAATTGGGTTGTACCCCCTATGGGATACCCCACTATAGCCTACACAAATGTATAAGCTATATAATGTTCTGACACACCCCCATAGGCAAAGTGGGGGAGAACAAGGGGTCACAAGACCAGTAAAGCAAAGCAAAGCAAAGCAAGCTCAGGGTGGATCACAAAGTCACCACACAGTCCGAGCACAGAGTCAAGGCCACAAGGCCAGTTCACAAGCAAGAGTACACACATATATACAAAGCTAGACAAGCAAGAGCAGGTATAGATATATGTGAGAGTACAAACCTGGTCAAGAAGAGAGCAAGTGAGGCAAGACAGGCACAAGACCCAGCTGAGTGCAGAAGCGCTGATGATCACAAGGCGCAAGTGCCTTGGTGAAGACATCAGCAGTGTTGGCCTTAGAGGCCACGTACGCAAGCCGCAACTGTCCACGCTGCTGCAGCTCACGTGCAAGAAAGTAGCGGAGAGCAATATGCTTTGTCTTGTGCTCCAGTCGCTGCTCTCGACACAAGGCCAGCATGGCCTTGTTGTCTACGTACAGGACTGGAGGAGAACGAGGCGGCTCTCCAAGGTCGGTAAGCAGGTAGGTGAGCCAGCGAAGCTCCTGGGCAGCCATAGCCCCTGCGGCACATGAGGCAGGTACATGAGGCAGCCGACAAGCTCTGGATACGGGCCACTCGACTCTACGGACTCATCCGAAGGCAGAGCTGAGAGCGAGTGGCGAGTAGGCAGAGGAGTGGCCTGAGGCGAGGAGTACGTGAAGCCGAAGCGCTGAAGGACCTGCTGCACCATGTGTGACTGAGTCAGGGTGATGGTGCGGCGTGCTCTGTCCCGGGTGATCTGCAAGCCAAGGTAGCTGGCACCTCACCCAGATCCGTGCACGTGTGTCTCTTCTGCAGCTCGGACTTCATGTAGGCGAGTCCAGCAGTGTCAGCAGTGGCAAAGACCAAGTCGTCGACGTACACGAGGATGTAGAAAGGCGGCAGAGAAGTGTCGGTGTGCAGAATCAGCGACGGGTCGGCAGTAGAGGGAGCAAACTCAAGTGCCGCCAACGTAGTCCTCAGTGTGTCGTGCCACTCACGTGGCGCCTGGCGGAGACCGTAGACTGGACGCCGGAGACTCCACTGGGTACCAGGAGGGAAAGACCCAGTGAAGCAAGGAGGGCGGCGCAGCCAGATCTCCTCGTGCAGGCTGCCCTGCAAGAAAGCAGTGCTGAAGTCAAGAGAGTGCAGCTCGTAGTCACGGTGTGCAGCGACGTGCAGTAGTACCCGAAGAGTGGTCATCTTCGGGGTCGGGGAGAAGGTCTGGAAGAAGTCAACTCCCTGTCGCTGACTGAAACCACGAGCCACGTAGCGCGCCTTGAAGACAGGCGGAGAACCCGGCGGCCGCTTCACCCTGAAGATCCACATGCCACTGACGATGTTCGCCCCATGAGGGGGAACAGCGTCAACGTAGGTGCCTGTGGACTTCCAGGAAGCCATCTCAGCATCCATAGCTGCCTGCCACTGAGAGGAGTAGGGACCCTCTATCGCCTCCGCGTAAGAGCGCGGAGTCGGGATGTCAAGTGCATCCGGGTCTCCCTCAGGGGTAAGCAGTACGGACACGAGATGAGGTGAAGCAGCGGCCATGCACTGGAACTCCTCCTGCCTGTCCTCAAGGACGTCCGTGCCAAGGGCACACTCACCCCCGACGGACGGAGGACAGGCGGACTCAGACTCAGCGACAAGACTAGCAGCGTAGTCTAGACGACAGCGAGCAGCAAATTCGACGAGCTCAGTGACAAGGGCAGACGCAGCAGTGGACTCGAAAGAAGGGTCACTGACGGCAGTAGCAAGGAGACGCGTGACAGAAGGACTGGCAGCACGAAGAGAGTCCGACGCAGGGTTGGCGAGAGGAGGAAGAGAGGACGAAGGAGGAGAAGGCAAAGGGGCACGCAGAGGAGCAGTGGTCGGACGCAGGGACATCCGGTGCGTGCCAGGGACAGGAGGAGGACGCTGACGCGAACCGCGACCACTAGCGCGCGCAGCACGAACAGGCGACGCGGGACGAGACGCAGGCTCACGAGGCTCAGTAAGACCTCAAGTAGGACCAGCGTAGGGAGAGGGAGCAGGTAAAGGGGAGGCAGGCTGGAGCTGTGACTGTGACTGGACAGGCGGCGGACCCTCTAAGGGAGGAGGAGGAGGACCAGGAGAAGGTGTAAGACCAAGAACCTGCTGCATGAGCGGAACAAAGTACGGCCGAGGCCGCACGGCGACGCCAGAAACAGCAGGGACAGGACCAGTACCCCCAGCAGGAGTACCCGCACCAGCAGCACCTCCAGCAGCTCTAGAACCTCCAGCAGCACCAGAAGCACCACCAACCGGACTGCCAGTGGTGGTCTCAGCGCCAACACCCTCAGGAACACCAGCTCCAGGCGAAACCGCAGGTCCAGCAGCTCTAGTACTCCCAGGACGAGCACCTCCAAGACCCGCGACAGTAGCACCCTAAGTAGCCGACGAACCTCCAGCACCAGCAGTACGGCTCCAGCGCCGAGCAAACCACTAGCGCAGCTCCTGTGGAGAGAGTGGCTCCCGGCGAGACGAAGGACCGAGAGAGCCCCCAGGCTCAGCACCTCCAGGCTCAGCACCCCCAGGCTCCGCACCCCCAGGCTCAGAACCCCCAGGCTCAGCACCCCCAGGCTCAGCACCCGCAGGCTCAGCACCCCCAGGCTCAGCACCCCCAGGCTCAGCACCACCAGGCTCAGCACCCCCAGACTCAGCACCCCCAGACGTAGCACCCCCAGGCCCAGCACCCTCAGGCTCAGCACCACCAGCAGCATTAGAGTCACCAGTGACCTCAACAGGCTCGACTGCGTCTACCTGGGACACACCTGACGGGGCAGGACCCTGAGGGGGGAGGGGGTCTACCGGGGGGGGACCTGGGACAAGAAAGAGTGGGGGCAGGGGGAGAGACGGAGTGCGGTAGGGGAAGAGGCGGTAGTAGGGTACCGACTCGTCGAACGTGACGTCCTGGGAGGACAGAACACGGCGAGAGGTGGGGTGGTAGAACTGCCACCCAGGGGCGTCGGGGGGGAACCCCAGGAAGACGCTGGGAGCAGCGCGAGGGGACAGCTTGTCCGCAGACAAGTCGCGAACAAACGCCCGAGATCCCCAGACCCGGAACGCCGACGCATCGCCAACCTTCCCGTCCACTGCAGGGCTGGGGAGGTCTCTGGCCTGGAGACCCTGGGGTGGAGGTTGATCTGATGCGCCGCGTACCTGACCGCAAACGGCCACAGAAAATGGGGAGCTGCCGCATGCATCATAGACGTACGAGCGACGTCCATGACCATGCCAATGCGGCGCTCTGCAATCCCATTTTGTTGCGGTGAGTCCGGAAGCGTGAAGGTCTGACGGATGCCTCGCGCACGACAGTAGGCACGCTGAAGGCCAGAGGAGAACTCTCCGCCTCTGTTAGAGTGCAGACGCAAAACAGGAAGGTCCGAGCCAAAGCTCTGCCTGAGCTGGAGATGAGCTGCGCGGATCCAGACGATCAGCACCGCAGTGACATTACCCTTGTTGCGCAAGGGGAAGACTGTGGTGTAACACGAGTAGTCGTCAACAACGAGCAGGGAGTAGCGCTCCTGACCCTGTCCACGGACGCGGGCTGGGCCCCACACGTCCATGTGAAGCGTCTGCAACGGGGCCTCTGTCGGAGGAAACTGGGAGGAGTGAGGGGCAGCACGCTGGCGCCCCTCGACACAGGGGACACAGGCAGGGCCAGGGCCCTGAGGAAGGGGAGGGAGGGACCGGGGGAGACCAGACACAATATGACGGGAGGCCATGCCTCTGAGCCGAAGCAGATAGGGGTGGCCAAGGCGGTGGTGCCAGAGGAGGGCCTCACTGGCACCTAGAGCAGCAGGACCAATGCCCGGGTCGGGCAGGAAACACCGGTAACAGTCATCCTCATCACTAACAGTCACAACATACATAGCAGCAAGGATAGCATCAAAGTCAAGATCAAAAACAGCTACACCAGCCCTAGATAGCTCTCCCCAGCGGGGGATCTCAGAGGCCTCCAGAAACAGCTGGCGCCAAGCGTCAGTCAGGCGGCCAAAGCAGCGGCGGGCGGTGTGGGTGCCGCCACACTGCTCACCCGCGCGGTCGCCGGTGCGAAGAACGTAGGTGCAGGGGCCAAACGCCCCACCACGCTGACGCTGCGAGTACCACTCACGGAGCTGCTGAGGGGTGGGGACGTCGCGAGAGCGCTGCTGCTGCTGGCGCTGACCACCCCCAGTGCTGCTCTGCTGGGACGAGCCACTCTGACCACCTCCACCACCGCTGCCCCCGCCTCCACCGTTACCACCGCTACCGCCACCCTCGCCCTCGCCGCTCCCACCGCCACCTCCGCCACCACCTCCGCCTCCACTGCCGCCACTAGTACCTCCACTCCCGCCACCACCTCCACTGCCACCCCCACTCCCCCCGCCGCCTCCACCGCCTCCGCCACCGCCCCCGCTAGCTCCACCCGCTCCCTTGCCCCCCTTGCCCCTGCCAGAGCGGCGCCTACCCCTAGGGGCAGACGCCGCACCGACCAACTCCAAACCAACGAGGTCGGCCGCAGCAGCAGAGGCGACAGAGGGTAGCAGGGGGGAAGGAGAACACCCCTCAAATATGGGGGTGCGAGGGTCACCACGAGAGGCCCCTACAGCGACTATACTCTTCTCAGCCGCTATCAGGGACTTCTCAAGGAGGTCGACAGTGAGGGTGGTGGGATAGACAGAGAGAAACTGGTCCCTAACGGCACGAAGGGACTCAGGGAGATGGGTGACGAGAAAGTAGAGAGTGATGTACATGGGAGGAGGGTTTGCGGCGCGGAACTCAGCAGGAAGCGCAGCGCGGTAGCGAGTGTCAATAGCGCGGAGGTGGGTAAAGAGGTCAGCGACTGTGGGAAAGGCAGCGAGGTCAGGGAAAAGGAACGATAGCATGAGGCGGCTCAGCGTAGCGGAGGAAGGGGAGGAGTAGCGCGCAACTACAGCGTCGTACAAGGCCTGAGCGGTCTTGCACTAACTAAAGTGTGCACGCTCGGAGGAAGGGAGGTGGCGACGCACAGCAAGACGTGCAGCAGCATCGCGCGTGGCCCACTTGGAGCGAACAGTGGGGTCAGCATCAGCAGGAGGGGCAGGGACAGCGCCAGAGACAAAGTCAAAGAGAGAAACCTCATCTATCGCATCGCACAGTAAGTACAGCTGCAGGTCCTCGACCCAGACTGCAAAGTGAATGGCGCGACCCTCAGCGTCAAAAGCCAGGACACTGGGGGTGGCCATTATAGCAGCTGACAGTCTCACCGGGCAGGAAGAGTCGGGAAGCGCGGGAGTACAGCAACACGGCAGCACAGCAGCTACGGCGGCCCAGGAGCAGCTGCAGCCCCACAGGAGCAGGAGCCTGGCACCTCAGGCTGCTCGGGCGGCTCGGGCGGCTCGGGCGGCTCGGGCGGTTCGGGCGGCTCGGGCGGCGCGGGCGTCTCGCGGGCGACTGCACAGGCGGCTGGGGCGGCTCGCGGGCGGCTCACGGGCCGCTGGACAGGCGGCCGGGGCGGCTCACGGGCGGCTGGGGCGGCTGCACGGGCGGCTGGGGCAGCTGCACGGGCTGCTCGCGGGCGGCGCAGACGGCTCGCGGACGGGCGGCTCACGGGCGGGCGGCGCACGGGCGGCGTCGGCGGCGTCGGTGGCGTCGGCGGCTCACGGGCGGCGTCGGCGGCGTCGGCGGTTCACGGGCGGCGTCGGCGGCGTCGGCGGCTCACGGGCGGCGTCGGCGGCGTCGGCAGCGCACGGGCAGCGTCGGCGGCTCACGTGCGGCGTCGGCGGCGTCGGCGGCTCACGGGCGGGCTGGTGGCGCACGGGCGGGCGGCTCACGGGCAGCGCCGGCTCTCGGGCGGGCGGCGTGCAGGTGGGCGGCTCACGGGCGGCGGCTCACGGGCGGCGGCGTCACGGGCGCCGGCGCACAGGCGGCGGCTTACGGGCGGCGCTCACGGGCGGTGGCCGACGGGCGGCGCTCACGGGCGGCGCTCACGAGCAGCGGCGCACAAGCGGCAGCGCACGTGCAGGCCGCAGGCGGCTAACGGGCGCTAGGGCAGGCGCCGGGCGCTAAGGCGCTAGGGCTGGCGTTAGGGCGGGCGCTAGGGCGGGCGCTAGGGCGCTGGGGCGGGCGCTAGGGTAGGCGCTAGGGCGCTTAGGCGCTAGGGCAGGAAAAAAAAATTCTAAGTGGTGGGCCCTAAGCACAGTTCCCACAGGGGAATCTGCTCTGATACCATGAGAAGAATTGAACGAGAGAATGGATGAACTATGAAATGAGTGAGTACAAGTACTAACCCTAATTGGGTTGTACCCCCTATCGGATACCCTACTATAGGCTACACAAATGTATAAGCTATATAATGTTCTGACATCTATCGGTCTCACTCGATCAGAAGGGGGGAAATATATTAATCTAGTAAGCTAATAAGGTTCGAAAGGAATCTAATGCATATGTATATAGAGAATGGTGCATTGGCCAGGTCGGTCAGTATGGGAACTTAGAATGCAAATGCCTGGGAGAACGGAACCGCTCAGATCTCGCATAGAACACGGAATCTAGTGGTCTCACTCAAATATAAGGTAGGAAATATATTAATCAAGTGAACGTAAGGGTTTGAAAGGTAACCAACGCACATGTGTAGAGAAAATGGTGCATCGGCCAGTCAGGCCGGCATTTCGTACTTACAGTGCAAGTGGGGCCAGGGAGAACGGAAACGCTCATTTCTCAAAAAGTAGAGGGAATCTAGCGGTCTCACTCGATCACAAGGTGGGAAATATATAAATCTAGTGAGCTAATAAGGTTCGAAAGGAATCTAATGCATATGTATATGGAAAATGGTGCATTGGCCAGATCGGTCAGTATGGGAACTTAAAGTGCAAATGCCTGGGAGAACGGAACCGCTTATATATCGCATAGTACACGGAATCTAGTGGTCTCACTCAAATATCATGTAGGAAATATATTAATCGAGTGAACGTAAGGGTTTGAAGGGTAACTAACGCACATGTGTAGAGAAAATGGTGCATCGGCCAGTCTGGCCGGCATTTCGCACTTATACTGCAAGTGGGGCCAGGGAGAACATAAACGCTCGTTTCTCAAAAAGTAGAGGGAATCTAGTGGTCTCACTCGATCGGAAGGTGGGAAATATAAAAATCTAGTGAGCTAATAAGTTTCAAAGGAATCTAATACATATGTATAGTGAAAATGGTGCATTGGCTAGGCCGGTCAGTATGGGAACTTAGAGTGCAAATGCCTGGGAGAACCGAACCGCTCAGATCTCGCATAGTACACGGAATCTAGTGGTCTCACTCAAATATAAGGTAGGAAATATATTAATCGAGTGAACGTAAGGGTTTGAAAGGTAACTAACGCACATGTGTAGAGAAAATGGTGCATCGGCCAGTCTGGCCGGCAGTTCGCACTTATAGTGCAAGTGGGGCTAGGGAGAACGGAAACGCTCGTTTCTCAAAACGTAGAGGGAATCTAGCGTTCTCACTCTATCAAAAGGTGGGAAATATATAAATCTAGTGAGCTAATAAGGTTCGAAAGGAATCTAATGCATATGTATATGGAAAATGGTGCATTGGCCAGGTCGGTCAGTATGGGAACTTAGAGTGCAAATGCCTGGGAGAACGGAACCGCTCAGATCTCGCAAAGTACACGGAATCTAGTGGTCTCACTCAAATATAAGGTAGGAAATATATTAATCGAGTGAACGTAAGGGTTTGAAAGGTAACTAACGCACATGTGTAGAGAAAATGGTGCATCGGCCAGTCTGGCCGGCATTTCGCACTTATAGTGCAAGTGGGGCTAGGGAGAACGGAAACGCTCGTTTCTCAAAACGTAGAGGGAATCTAGCGGTCTCACTCGATCAGAAGGTGGGAAATATATAAATCTAGTGAGCTAATAAGGTTCGAAAGGAATCTAATGCATATTTATATGGAAAATGGTGCATTGGCCAGGTCGGTCAGTATGGGAACTTAGACTGCAAATGCCTGGGAGAACGGATCCGCTCAGATCTCGTATAGTACACGGAATCTAGTGGTCTCACTCAAATATAAGGCAGGAAATATATTAATCGAGTGAACATAAGGGTTTGAAAGGTAACTAACGCACATGTGTAGAGAAAATGGTGCATCGGCCAGTCTGGCTGGCATTTCGCACTTATAGTGCAAGTGGGGCCAGGGAGAACGGAAACGCTGGTTTCTAAAAAAGTAGAGGGAATCTAGCGGTCTCACTCGATCAGAAGGTGGGAAATATATAAATCTAGTGAGCTAATAAGGTTTGAAAGGAATCTAATGCATATGTATATGGAAAATGGTGCATTGGCCAGGTCGGTCAGTATGGGAACTTAGAGTGCAAATGCCTGGGAGAACGGAAGCGCTCAGATCTCGCAAAGTACACGGAATCTAGTGGTCTCACTCAAATATAAGGTAGGAAATATATTAATCGACTGAACGTAAGGGTTTGAAAGGTAACTAACGCACATGTGTAGAGAAAATGGTGCATCGGCCAGTTTGGCCGGCATTTTTCACTTATAGTGCAAGTGGGGCCAGGGAGAACGGAAACGCTCGTTTCTCAAAAAGCAGAGGGAATCTAGCCGTCTCACTCGATCAGAAGGTGGGAAATATATAAATCTAGTGAGCTAATAAGTTTTGAAAGGAATCTAATGCATATGTATATGGAAAATGGTGCATTGGCCAGGTCGGTCAGTATGGGAACTTAGAGTGCAAATGCCTGGGAGAACGGAACCGCTCAGATCTCGCATAGAACACGGAATCTAGTGGTCTCACTCAAATATAAGGTAGGAAATATATTAATCAAGTGAACGTAAGGGTTTGAAAGGTAACCAACGCACATGTGTAGAGAAAATGGTGCATCGGCCAGTCAGGCCGGCATTTCGTACTTATAGTGCAAGTGGGGCCAGGGAGAACAGAAACGCTCATTTCTCAAAAAGTAGAGGGAATCTAGCGGTCTCACTCGATCACAAGGTGGGAAATATATAAATCTAGTGAGCTAATAAGGTTCGAAAGGAATCTAATGCATATGTATATGGAAAATGGTGCATTGGCCAGGTCGGTCAGTATGGGAACTTAGAGTGCAAATGCCTGGGAGAACGGAACCGCTTATATATCGCATAGTACACGGAATCTAGTGGTCTCACTCAAATATCAGGTAGGAAATATATTAATCGAGTGAACGTAAGGGTTTGAAGGGTAACTAACGCACATGTGTAGAGAAAATGGTGCATCGGCCAGTCTGGCCGGCATTTCGCACTTATACTGCAAGTGGGGCCAGGGAGAACGGAAACGCTCGTTTCTCAAAAAGTAGAGGGAATCTAGTGGTCTCACTCGATCGGAAGGTGGGAAATATAAAAATCTAGTGAGCTAATAAGTTTCAAAGGAATCTAATACATATGTATAAGGAAAATGGTGCATTGGCTAGGCCGGTCAGTATGGGAACTTAGAGTGCAAATGCCTGGGAGAACGGAACCGCTCAGATCTCGCATAGTACACGGAATCTAGTGGTCTCACTCAAATATAAGGTAGGAAATATATTAATCGAGTGAACGTAAGGGTTTGAAAGGTAACTAACGCACATGTGTAGAGAAAATGGTGCATCGGCCAGTCTGGCCGGCATTTCGCACTTATAGTGCAAGTGGGGCTAGGGAGAACGGAAACGCTCGTTTCTCAAAACGTAGAGGGAATCTAGCGGTCTCACTCGATCACAAGGTGGGAAATATATAAATCTAGTCAGCAAATAAGGTTTGAAAGGTATC